AAATGGTGACATGAATGTAATGCTAGTTAGTGAAGTAATGTAATGCTATTTCAGTTGGTTCTATGATATGAATGGTAACTTGTTTAGAGGTTACAAATGGTGACATATTGAATGGTCAATTATCCATAACAGACATCAATAATCCCACAAACCAAAACAGGTTCCAAAACAAGTTCCAACCATAACAACATTGGGAATATATGCACAAACCAAAACAGGTTCCAAAAATATATGCACAAACCAAAACAGGTTCCAACCATAACAAACACCAACTATACAGGTTCCAACCAAAACAAGTTCCAACCATAACAGACATCAATAATCCCACAAACCAACAACCATGTCTGGATCATTAAAGTCTTCCACAATATTCAAGGATGAAAAAAAAGGATCTTTGACAAAATGACTCCTCTGTTGATCTTTCATCTTCCTCCTACGTTGTTGTACTCGAGATAGTTTGGCAGGTTCAGCTGCTTGAAATGGTTGGAATTGAGAAGCATCAGCTACTTCAGATGCCTGAGATTGAGAAGGCCCTTAGGAACCGCATACTTGTTTCTCTTGCCTTAATTGCATACTCTGTTGTCCGCTACTTTGGTCTCTACCATCTCTCCTTCTTACCTAAAACAAATAATAATTAGAAGTTTACATAATATGAAATTTTGATTGGTGAAAACATAGTTGAAACCGTAGAACTTACTGCAATTTTTTCCTTGGCAACTTTCCTCTTCCCAGCAGTGACATGTATATTTTTAGTCCCATTACTACATACATGTGTAGGATTAAAGGTTTTCACCTGCAGGTAAGTGCTACCACTAACACTTGAAACATGGATAACAAAAAGACAACCCTCTTCACATACTGCGCTTATTTTGTTACGGTCATTATAGGTGACTCTTCTCCATTGTCTGACTCATCATTTTCCTCTGCATTAGGATCATTGTCAATGCAATTATGATCCACATAACCTTCAAACCACTTATCATCATTCTTCAATAAGTCCATCTCTTCATCATTCTGTGCATAGTCACTATTTTCAAAGTCTGGATCACTGCTATCATCATCATCAGAACAAGAATATTCTTGATCACTGCTATCATTACCCACTGGGCTTGAAGTCAGGCTCACTACTTTCAAGTACAAAACTATCACCCTATTATTACTTTTAGGTATCGTGCTCATACAAGCTAAAATCGTACTATATGATATTATTTGAATGAGTCTACCAGTTCCAAACTCTTCACCATAAAAACTCACATCATACCCATCGTCATATCCCAAATCTTTAGCCATTCCAAAGAACTCTAACATGGACATATAGTCAACCTCACAACAATCAAACCAATTGACTTCATCACCAAAATAAGACCATTCACTGTCCTTTCTATTTTTTAATTAGTTTACCTCCGTGGAAAAACTTAAATGTGACAACCTCATCAACATCTTCATTTGTGTAAGAGGAAGATTCACTTAACAAATGGACAAAGGTAACAAAGACAAAACAAAGACCACACAAGGATAATACAAAGAACACACAAGTACCATATAAGGTGTATTGGGGCCAGCACAGAGTAAAAAAGAATATAAATAAATAAATAAATAAAAACTCCAGCAACACACTAGACTGGGAACATGCAAGGACCACACAATGATCACACCAAGACCAGCACAGAGTCAAAAAGTTTTCAAAAAACAAAAAAAACCCTAACAACAGTTCAATGCATATGCCAAAATCAAGAAAATCGAGTGAGAATGGGTCCACTTACATATGGGTTGACAACCTCCAGATTCTCTAAGCATCACCATCTTCGCATTTTCTAGCCTTAAAGTCTAACGCCAAAAATGATTTCTTCTCCAGATTCTCCCAAAATCGAAGCCAACCTAAGATTTTCACAAACCCTAAGCCCTATTCTCCAATTTCCCTTTCTCACCCAATTTCCCCCTTTCTTAGAACTGAGAAACCCTTATTCAAAGAGGTTAAAGGTTAAAATGAAGTGGAGCCCAACGTTCTTCACGGAACGTCTAAAAAACTGACAAAACGGGTAACGTGAGACGGTTTTTAAAAGGTTGGGGGGTACTTTGAGACGTTTGCAAACACATGTGATAATCTGAGAAAAGTTTGAAAGCACATGGGGCATGTACATAAATAAGCTTTGTTAATATTCTGTCATAGAAGTACATTGTTAATACTCTTTCATAGAAGTACATTGTTAATACTTTGTCATGGAACTATCTTGTTAATACTCTGTCATACAAATACATTGTTAAACAAAAATGAGAACCATAACTAAAATAGTAACAAAAGATAAAATGATCATCAAAACTTAAAATACATTCCTCAAATCAACTAAAATTCGAAGAGAAACACATAATTGAAGTAAAAGATAAAAAATCCCAAGTCTAAACCCTAAATCCTAAACAACGACATCGATGGCAGCGAAGACGATGATTGCGGCGGCTGAGGAGATGATGACAGCGAGGTGACAACGACGACGAAACATAGGCCATATTTAGCTCTTAAAACATGCAAAATCCATCTCCAGCCATGGGCCAAAAAAAAATTTGCCAAAATTTAAGGGGCACATTTAGCCTTTTAGTCCTCAAACCAGGCTATTTGTAGCCCATGTCAAAATTTTTGTGTGGACTGGGCACATGTGTTGCCCAACAAGAGGAAGTATCACATGTGGGTGTGATCAGGGGAACATCTCATGCAACTACAATCCAAGGGTTGATATTAAAGGGGTGCCAACGTTAGTTAGAAGTTACAAATTTTTTTTTTCTTTTCATATAATGTTTAAATGTATTGAAATTCATTTTTTTAACATTACAAATTTTTTTACGTTTTTCATATGTCATGGAAGTGCATTGTTAATACTCTTTCATAGAAGTACAGTGTTAATACTTTGTCATGGAACTATCTTGTTAATACTCTGTCATACAAATACATTGTTAAACAAAAATGAGAACCATAACTAAAATAGTAACAAAAGATAAATTAATCATCAAAACTTAAAACACATTCCTCAAATAAACAAAAATGAGAACCATAACTAAAATAGTAACAAAAGATAAATTAATCATCAAAACTTAAAATGCATTCCTCAAATCAACTAAAATTCGAAGAGAAACACATAATTGAAGCAAAAGATCAAAAATCCCAAGTCCAAACCCTAAATCCTAAACAACTACATCGATGGTGGTGTAGACGACGACTATGGCGGCTGAGGAGACGACGATGGCGAGGTGACAACGACGACGAAACATAGGCCATATTTAGCTCTTAAAACATGCAAAATCCATCTCCAGGGGCCAAAAAAAAAAAAAGAAACCAAATTTTGAGGGCCACATTTAGCCTTTTAGTCCTCCAACCAGGCTATTTGTAGCCCATGTCAAAATTTTTGTGTGAACTGGGCACATGTGTTGCCCAACAAGAGGAAGTGTCACGTGTGGGTGTGATCAAGTGAACATCTTGTGCAACTGCAATCCAAGGATTGATATTAAAGGCGCACTAACGCTAGTTAGAAGTTACATTTTTTTTTCTTTTTCATATAACGTTTTAAATGTATTGAAATTCATTTTTTAACATTCCAAAAGGTTGTTTTTGTTTTTGTTTTTTTTTCATATATATATATATATAACGGTCAGAACCTTTTGGAATGTTATTTTTTATTCCTTCTTATAACGTTTAAATGTATATAAAATTCATTATTTTTGAAAAAAATTTAAAAAATTGATTATGATCGTTGGGAGGTCATAACCTTTTGAAATGCAGGAATATTTTCAAAATAGCCATTATAGGCTTTCTAAAATAAAATAAACTTAAACTATGTCTATAAATACCTCCAAATTTCTTCAAAATTGTCACACTCATTTCATTCCACATTTCTCACAATTTTCATTCCACACTGTTTATAAATGCTTATCAACGTACACGTGTCATATTTGGAATATTGTCTCTAAATAGTAGTTTAATTAATTTAAACAAATATATAGTAGTGGAATGTATAAGTGTTGTACCACAGTTTTTCTCAAAATAATAAAATATGAAGGGCCCTAACATATAGCCCTGCATGACCGAAGATGAAAAAAAATACTACTTGTTAAAATAATAATATTTTAAAGGACTAAATTGTAGCGCTCTATTCAGCCTATAGCCCATGACTGGATGGAGATGGCCTCATTATCTCATCCTCTGTAACTTATAATGCTTGCTTTTTGTGTAATCTTATTGATGGTACTTCAGCTTAATCACTTGACCCCAAAATGAAAAATAGAAATGGTATGGGCTTGATCGAAGCGAAGTCCAATGGAGGGCCTCTTGGAAAAAATTTTCAGGCCTGCAGATTTTACAATCTTGCAGTACTGCGCACCCAAAACAAAAAAAAAAACAAAAAAAAAAGTTGTGTAGAACACAAATCCAACAAATTAATCTTTGACACAAAAAAAAAAGGAAAAAAAGAAAAAAGTAATCAGAAAGCAGGCACATTACAATAAAATAAAAGTTAAGAATTGAAAGTCATGCCCCTTAGATTGGATTGATAAAAGACATTTCCAAGAAGTAGGTGAAAGTTTGTTGAGCATTCCAAAACTTGTAAAACATAATTTGGAGATAAACAAAAACCAGCTAAATCAATTTGGATCCGATTTAAACTAGAAAAGCACTTTACACTTGTTGTTGGCACACCAAACATGTCTATAAATTTGAAAACAAAAGATAATTTCAATATTCTGGTTTCGTAGATTTGTTGCCTTTGTGATATAGCTAAAACTTAGCAAGTCATAGGTTCGAGGACCGACACTGATCGGATCAACATATTTCCGGAAAGAATTTCAATCTTAAAAAAAACAATTCAATGTTTCTAGTTCTACCTCTGTTATTTTATATATTCACATAAAAATGAAAAGAAATTAAAATAAAAAGGCATAGATTTTGAGGAAAAACAAGATTTGGGCTTGGGCTGGTTCGCCAGAGGTACTAATCCAGTTTCCAGCTGTATGTTTGGTTAGTGGTTAACTGGTCCCAATATTCCATTGTCATTTCTGGAACTTAACGGCCGTGTATCTCGCTCGGCTCTCACCGCCTCAACTCTCTGCCTTCTTCTTCTTCTTCTTCTGCCTTCTGCTGAGTTTGCACTGACATTTCAAATTGGGTTTTTCTCTGTGAAGTTTCTGCAAGCTTCTAGCCACTTTCTTCATTCTCTCTCCCCCCCACCCACAAGGCTCAAGCATCTTCATGGCTTCCTGTGAGTCTCTCTCTCCTTCACACAGATACACATATACTTGAGAAATCTGATTTTACTTCTTGTTGTGAATTATACATGTCTATATTCATTATTTTGATTATGGGGAAATGGGTATTTGGTAAATTGACTTACGGTTAATAGTTAGGAATTTGGGGTTGGGATTACAGGGTTTTGTTGCTTATAGCCATTGAAGTTTTTGGCACAGCTCATGAAAAAAGGTTAACCATGTTGCTGCAGCAGTAATTATTGCATGTTTGAAACATTGCACTTACTCCCTTGTGAATCTAAATTCTTGAATTTAATTGTTCTGGTTCCTAGTGGTAACTGGTAAGTAAATGGTAAAAACTAATGAAGGAAGATAAAGAAGGAGAAGAGAAACTGACCTCAAGCATCTATGTTACAAGTGTAGTGCATTATTAGATTCTACTTGAAAGTTAATTTGAGGGTCTTATAGTCTGCTTCGTGTCCAGTAGATTTTATCATTTCTTATATAAAGCTTGTCTATTCCCGCTGATTCTTATTTATTCATGTACAGAAGCATGAATGCATACCAAATGAAAATGAAATAGAAAAGAAGGAATTTCTTCTTATTATTATTAGTCATTTGTGATATGATTTGGGTGGCAGGTAGCCTAGGGACATTGAATGCCAAAATTACAAACTTGAACTTCGGTAGAACAAGAGTCGGGATTCTACAATCATCTGGTCTAAAAACTTGGACAGGGCAAAAACCACAATTGTACTCATGTTTGTCAATGTCAAGACGACCAGACAAAGTATTACGTGCACACAGTGGTCCATCTTTAGAAACCCTGCGTAAGTTCTTTTTGTTGATGTATTTGTTTGCTTGTCCTCCCTCAGTAATACGTCAAATCTGGAATTTGATTATCGGCACTCAAAACATCAAGTTTGTTGGATTATATGACTTCTCACTGATGCATGTGTATAAATATACACATGGTATTATATGATAATTTTTCTTTTAAGCTTAGTAAATTTTGTGAAACTGAAGTGAAAATGACATGGAAGTTGATTGCTTGAGAATCTGGGTAGATTTACTAGTGCATTTCTATCCACTTTAAAATATTTTTGTAAAGGTAAATAAGCCATTGTTCTAAAGTTACATTGTCTAGGTACATACGCCAATTTTCTTTATATGAAATTTTACAATCTTGTATTCTTCCTATTATATTGTTTAATTCAGTGTTGAAATGATGAATGAAGTTTGTTTATCTTTGTCTAATAAATCCAAATTACTGACCTATTCATTTATGGTATGCTATTGCCAATCCCAAAATTTTATGTAGGTCCTGAAACCTATTAAGTCATATTTGGTAACCTTTAATATGTCCTGTGATTAAAAGTTAAGTAGGCATTATCTTGGGATTTGCAAGGCCAAAACTTTTGTGATTCTTGTCCAGTATTGAGTGACGAAATAGTAAGTTTCATTGATTTGTAAATGTTAGTATTATGTCAACATGATAATATCTGGTCCTGTAACATATAGTCTATCTCATATCATCATTCTGTTGATGATGTAACAGCTACTACAAGTTTAGAAGATGGTCCTGCAGAGAGTAGAGATTCTGGTTCGACAAACCAGCTCATTCCAAATTTTGACGAGGTAAGTTCACTAATAATTAGGGACCCTTATTAATTCTATGCCCCTTTTCTCCCTTTGGCACATCTTTAAAGATTAGTGGAGTTGTGAATGTAGTAATGGTTGTTTCTTGGAGTTTTACTTTTGGAGGAATTATGATCCAAGAAGTATTTTTGCTTGGTTATTCTTTCTATTTATCAAATGGTAAGACAGAGAGAAAAATGTAAATTCCTTCTTTTCTTGTATCATGCCAATTTTTTATGCACCATGTAGATGTCCGAGTTCTCTATTTCTAGGGTGTCATAAGATGGTTGTAATCACCATCTTTAAAGAGCACATCCCTACACTTCAAATTTACCTTTTTAGAAAGAAAAAAAATCTTGTGCAACCTCTGCAGTTTTTTCATGTGTTAGATTTCTTGAATAGTTGCATTCAAATACACAAGTTTATTTTCTTTGGTTTGTGTTGAAAAAGAGGGATGGAAAAATAGGTTATTGGTAGAATACCATAAACCACAAGTTGCATACATTTTATTTTCATCACTGCTTGTGGGTAATCCTGCAATTGTTATTGTACATTGCAAAATCATGCTTTATGGTACTTCAAATTTGAAAAAGAGAAGACAACTTTAATCCATTTAGACTTGAAAATATGTATTGCTAGGTTTTTTTGTTATAGACCTGGATGGTATCGTGAAATGTCCCTATAATGTTTGTGAAATTCCTCTACATTTTTGTTAACTATTATCTTAATACATGCACACCCTATTTTCTTTCAAACTCATATTTGAGGAAAATATTGACTGATTTTATCTATGTTTCTTGTAAAATTCCTCAATAAAATTTCCTTCTGTTCAAATTTACTTCTGTTAACCTTGCCATGCAATTCCCTAATTATTACTAGGCCAACAAACTTTTCATCTTAAAATTTTCTCTTTACATTTACCCACAAACGCATGTATGTCCTCACTTAATTCTAAAGCGTTTTTATGAGTTTAAAACATGTCTTTTGGTTACTTTGGTTTGCAGGTAGAATCTTTGGTCACAACAATATGCGATACAACTTCAGTTGCTGAGTTCGAATTAAAAGTAAGCAAGACTGTTTTTCTTAATGGTGCTTATATTATGAATTGTAATTTTTTCATTTTTAACAACTAATAAATATTCCATTCACAACCCCTCCCTTTTTCCTTTATGCTTCCTATTAGTATGGGATGCTACTGATTTATCTTCCATTCTGTCTATTATTAATTTCACACATTCCAACCATATAATCAGATCGGTGGATTTCGGTTACATGTGCTGAGGGAGTTGACTGAAAAAATTAGCACTCTACCTCCCCCAAGTCCTGCTCCTGTTAGTGTGAATGCAACTGCTGAAGCACCTGCTTCGAATGGCACAGTTCCTACACAATCTTTAGCTATCATTAGACAAGAACATTCTTCAAGGAATATCCAGACATTGCTAGATAGAGCTGCAGATGATGGCTTGGTGTTAATTCATTCTCCACGAGTAAGAACTCAAATTAAATGTTTCTGTCATTTTATAAAATCTGGATACTAAAACAACCAATGGTGCAGGTGGGGTTATTTAGGAGATCACGAACGATAAAGGGGAAGCGTGCTCCGCCATCATGTAAAGAGGTACATATTTTTCAGCTAATTTGTTAATTTTAACGAAAGAATTGTTGAATTTCCTGCTTCCTTAAAGGCATTAATGGAAATACTTGGCTGGCACACAGTCAGGATGTAGGGATGTCTTGTTGGGATTTGGGACTCAAATTTGATTTCTCGTGCTTCATTTTGGACTTTTTGTCTCCGTCAATGTACTTGTTAGCTTGTTTATTTCTCGGCTTAGTCTAGGTTCATTATGCTGTTACTTGTGAGCCATCAATAATCCATGTAAGCTTAGTGATGTAAAACATGGAAAAAACAGATGAAATTAAAACAATTTTTTTAATTCAAAAATATTTTTTATCTCAATATGAATAAGAAACTCTAGTATATTAGGCAATCACAAAATAGAGTCTCGCAAGGACTAAAATAAATAAAAAAATTTCCTCTTGCCTACACCCTAAATACTTTGCTCGATTGTATCATTGAAAAAATCTAACATTTTTCCATGCTTAGTGTTTTAACTGATTCTTCTGATTTTTGAATTTTTACATAACAGAAGCAAATAGTGAAGGAAGGCCAAGTGATTTGCTACATAGAACAGCTTGGTGGAGAGCTTCCAATTGAGGTATGTGTCAGTTGAGAGAGGCAGTTTGATTTCTCTTCTCTTCCCAGCTGTTGTCCTTTATGTTTAACATAGTGTTTGACTCACTCATTGTTTCTTTCCAAGTCTGATGTATCTGGGGAGGTCATCAAGATACTACGAGAAGATGGCGGTACGTTTGGCTATGTTTCAGTTCTTTGTCTGCAGGATTTTGTTGATACCACTGGTAGAAGTTCTCATCTAATCTATTTTTTCTTAACAGATCCCGTTGGATATGGTGATGCTCTCATTGCAGTTCTCCCCTCATTTCCTGGGATTAAGAAACTTCAGTAGATAGATTGGTTTTTCATTCTTGTATTGAAAAATAAAGGAAGCAGTTTTGTTCTAGTTTTCTTTTATTTGTTCGGTTCCTACTTTCTTTAACAGTAATATTTTGCCAGCAATTTTTTATATGCATTGTGTACTGTGTTTTTTGTACAATGTTGTTGCAGAGTTAGCCTTGCACAACTTTATTTACATGAAGGGACATAATATAGTGTTACATCTTGGCATGAAATTTTGTAACTTTTTTTTAACACAATCAATTCCCATGTCTCAATTAGCTTCGATTTCGCCTTTACAGCCGATTGAAGAATGATATGATTGTTTAGTTTTTCTAGTAGCTTTTATGAAGAACTAGCTGAGTTAATCTGATATGTGATTGAAAGATGTGTCGACGGATTGGATTTTGATTTGAATAAGATGTAATTAATGAAGTTAGATCTGAATAAGGGCGGTTTTCTGTGGGCTGGTTGTTGGTCAGGTTATTTTGTGTTGGATGTGGTAGAGAACTTATGTAGGTATGTGTTGCGAATCTATGGAACTTTTCTTTTTCAATGCAACCGAAGGTCTAAATTTTTAAATTAAAAAAACAACAAAAGAAAAGAAACTTGTAAGTCAAGGAAGTGTATAAAGTAATTTTACAACTTTAGTTAATAGCCGAACTTTGGTAATCATTTCGTTTTTACCATTTTATTTCTTATTTCCCTTGGTTTTTTTGGGTGACGATTTTCACCCTTCTAGTTTGTACCCTTGCATTCCTCCCCTGATTTTAATACTTAAATAATTAGTTCTTGAACATTTTTCTTGAAGTTTTCATTTTAGTCCTTGAATTTTCCAATCAATCAATATGGTGCTTAATCTTTTGTGTTTACATTTCAATATTATCCATATTGTTGCAATCTGTAAAAACTTTTATTAAAATTGGCCACTTCACCAACTACAAAGGAGTATTTCCGTCAAAATATAGCTTATATACAAAGGAGACAACAAAATTCACGTTGTTGAGCATAAGACGCGAGGTTCATATTTTTTTAAAATTTTGGGTGGATATATAGTACTTTTTGACAAAAACACCCCTTAAAAGTTAGTGCGAGCCATCAAGTGCGCAACTTTAACAAAGGTTTTGATGTAATGCGACGAGAGGGATCGAATTGATATGTCGACCAAAAGATTAAGGGGTATATTAATTGATTTGAAAGTTTGAGGACTAAAATTCGGAATCTTTAAAAAATTCAGGGACTAGTCGTGATAAAATCCCAATAATTGAATATAAATAATAAGGTTTAAAACTGAAATTAATATATATTATACCATAATATAGAAAATATAGAAAAACAATCAGATTGAGGCACAGTCAAAAACCCTACACTACACTACAGATGACGCAATAATTGAAAAAAAGAAACATCATAAAGCACCAGCTTTGTGGAGCAACTTGCTCAACTTCTTGGACGACCTGTTACAAATAGCATGTCTGCTGGCCTATCCATTCTGAGGTTCATCAAATCTTAAAGCACTCTGCATTTCCCTCATCACTTCTGCATCCAAAAAATGGCATGATGATAGAGAGATGAACAACCGTGTTATTGTAATTTTAATTCCATAGAAAAGGAATATTGGGAAAGTAGAGATGCATCAAGAATTTGGCAGCAATAGAAGCTATATTGTGCTGTTCTACTACCATGGAACCATGGAAACAGTAGGAACAAGAGCATAAGAATTTGAAACACTGAACAATAAATGCAAAGAGCATAGTTATCAAATGTTGCTGAGAACAACATTTAAAGAAACACCAACCATTCCTCATTACTCATTTTCTACAAATTTACCAACTGGAATTAGCTAGAGTCTAACACAACAGCAAACACATACGGTAGATTTTGAGCAGCCACAAATCAGATTCGTACACACACAACCAAGAACACACATAGCGAAGGAGCATTCTCTGACAGTTACTTGCAAATAACATTTTCAAGTCAGTTCACACTACACGAACCAATTTTCTGCTAGTTACATCCATTTGACACACGACATCTTGTAAAAAGAAAACATGCCTTTACAAAAAGCAAAGTAACGACTGAAATCCCTGGATAACAGAGATAGGGGAAAATCAAGATATAAGAACTTTGTAGGGACTTAGGTTTGCTGGTTTTCTGGTCGAGTTGGATTCTCCTGATTCAGCAGAGTTGGAGTCATACAAAGCATCTTCTGATTATTAAGCCATAAGCCATGTATCGAGATCAAACGTCAATCCCGCACTTGTTCAACAAAACTAAGGTGTTAGATCTAGGAAAACACAACAAACTTCCTATCTGTACAGGAAGAATACAGAACTAATCTCTTCCTTTACACATATCAAACTAAACTCGATCAGCACTCCGCTTTGCTTGATGAGCCACGTACAAGGGGGATATCTTCAATCCAATCAGCATAGATGCGACTCATTTTCTCTAGTTCGTTCCACTTGAAGTTGCATTCCCTACCCTGCAGTTGTTTGCGATAAGTAGCCCCAATTCCCATCCTACGTTTTGACATACTTGTAGAAGAAGTCCTCGAATTCTGCACACTTCCAGATTCCACTGCCATATAGCCACAAAGCTTCATTAGTTCTTTAAAACAATGATACGACTCAGAGTTTAGTTTTCTGAGAATCATTGCACATCCCACAACATTGAGCATCTCTTAGTCAATCAAAAGGGACATTGATGAATGCAAACAATCAGCAATTCATGACTCTAGATTGGTTCTGCAGGATATCATAACTGCCTCTGGTTCATCACTACAAATGGCTACCGATAATGGGTGCCAGTTTTGTAATGATCAGTACAAAATGAAGGTTATGTACTTTAAAAACAAAATAGAAAAGACACTGCTCAAATGCCCAAAATGAAGGTTATGTACATTAACAACTTACCATTCCTCTTTAGAGCACATCAAAAAAAAAAAAGTAAAGAAACTCTGTCAATACAACAACAACAACAACAAAAATTTAAGAGAAGAGTAATCAAGTTCATGTCAAACATTCGATGCATCAAGCAGACAACCAGGCACTGAAAGCCTATATCTATCTCCATAAACTTATAAACCAACTTGCAGCAAGAGCAAAAACCTTATAAGGCCACTATGAAATCATACATATCTAATATCAATTTCCTTGGAGAAGCCTGGTCACCTTCTAAATAAGAATTGAGAAAATTGCAACAGCATTATGAATACCATCACCAATCATGCATTCCAAATACCAAGTCCATTAGACCAATATCCCCAGGGTGCCTCTTCTGACATAATGAACCAGTGAAACGAAACTAGAGTTCTTATGGGCCATGACTCATGAGAAATCAACTGATCTTCTCACAATGGGCCAGACATACTTTAATGAAGTCAAGCAACCAATTTGTTTCCTTACACGATAAGCTATGACTAATAATAATTTTTAATTTTGGCACACCAATGTTACTTCATTACATTAGTTGGATTAATAAAGGTGAAATATACTAAGAATATAACATGTAAAATATTCATATGACCAACCTTATAGCAAGTAAACATGATACGCACGAAAAAAATATGCTGGACCCAAAATAATCAACATTTCCAACAAATTAAACTTTCAGTAGAGTCAAAATCCATACCCAAAGACCTCTTGCTGTAAAATTGACCAGAACCACCAATGTGAGCCCCAGTAGTTGAAATACTTATCGCTGACTTCTCTCTGATGTTTTCAGGAGTTACATGATGAGGATAGCGGCATTTGTCTCCATATGTGCATTTTCCCCCATTAAAGAACAATCTGCATACATCATTAGAAGTTCTTCTATGATCACAAGTCCTGGCCTTGAAGCCCTCCTCAGTTTCCAGTCCTTGCCAATTACGCCAAGTCTTGCGGAGATCACTAATTCCATGGGCAAAACAACATCCCTGCCCATAATGGCAATTACCCATTTTGAAGTTATTGCAAAGTCTCGTTTTGAAATTACAAGGCAACGTTTTATTCTGCGCCATGGGAATCGCAGAGATCAATACGACTTCAGAAGTTCTGGGTTTCTTGAAAGGTTGGCTTTCAATGTCAGAGAGATCTTTGAAATCTTTATCAGCATTGGGAAATTCAGGCTTTAGTTGATACCTGTTGTCGCCGGATTCAAGATATGGGGCAAAGAATTGGCAAGTAGGTCCATAATCGCTCATTTTGGTACAGAACAGAACTTAAAACCAAGTTGGAGCTCTAACTGTTTGTTGAAATGTCGAAGAACCCAGAACAAAACTATGTTCGAGACATAGTTGGAGCTAAAATTCAAGAAAACCCAGGTGCAATTTCAGAACAAATGAGTGCGTATCAATCAAGAAATGAGAGCCATTCTGTTTCAATGTTCGCAAATTCGCAATGTATCGCAATCCAGATGAACATTTCTAAGTTGGGAATGGACCAAATTGAAATATTCAGAAAACCCAGATGAGAAGGTACCTAAGTGAAAGTTCATTATGCGCCTCAGCTAAATTGTTATGAAACCAAAATGTTGGTGAAAAGTGGAAAACCCTAAACCCAGACTGTATTTTGGATCCCTTAGTGACATGTTTAATTGAGTAGATGGGATGACAAGGGAGAGTTGGTCGAGGCTGAGTATGCTATTCCCATTTGGCCTTCTGCCAGGTAAACGGGAAGCTCGTCGAGTACAAGGGGACCCGATATTTTTGTCATTAAAACTTTTTCCTCAAGAAAATGATTTTAGAAAATTATAATGCAATACATGAAAAATGGAATAAGACGTAGGATTTTTTGTAAACCGCATATTCTTCTCGTATAATGTATAGCCTAGATTTGGATTGAGGTCAGCACCTATACCAGATCTTCCGGGTTGGGATGCTCTCGGTAGGAGACTTGCACACTTTGAACAGCTATCAGAATAGGAGCGAACTGAGGTTGGTCCCAGTTGAACTCCCTCCAATGGTTAAGTCAGAAGTGGTTGTAAGGTGGAGAGAGTGGATGTAGGGTTTGCAAGATGAGAATATTTATTACCTATGTCCAGAGATAGGTGAAGGGCATTTATAGGGGGAGAATGAGAGATAAAGATACTTAAGGAGGAGATATTTATCCTCCTTCCCCCTGGTAAGATTAGACCACATTAAATGACATGTTTCTGATCACCATACTATCTGGCAAGGATTGTGTGACGGAGTGACATGTGGCTTTGGATGGGAGGTATATTAAATAATCTCTCTCCATCACCAGTCTGTTCACTCTGAGATCAAAAGGTAAGGCGACACCTGGTCTTGGATGGAATGTACATTAACTGATCTATCTCACTTGCCAGGCTGTCTTACCAAAGGGGCGGAGTGTTTGACTCAACAGGGATCTAATCATGCATGTGGACCATTAATGCATCTCTGGTTGAACATAGCACCAGAGTGGTCGGGTCGGTGTTCAAATACCCGAGAGCTAATTCGACCTTTATTCCTTTGGATCTTGGGTGGGAGGTCTTTTATCGACCCTCGGGGGTACCAAGTATGATCGGGTCGGTATTAAAGGTAACCCAACCCAACTACGGCCACGTGGCGTTCTCTAATAGGTTCGGCTCACAGTGATGGTATGAGGCATTAACAATTTTATATGATACAATAATATATATTCACAATCATCATACAATCATGGATCATAAGTTAAACTAGGACTTGACATTTATAAACGAGTATACAAGGGAAGGAATAAGTAGAGAAAACGGATATTTACATCTAAGCTTGGCATTTTATTATGAAAAACAAACAAACTGACCGAACTGAATCGGTCGGTTTTGTCGGTCATGGAGCAAATCGGTAATTGCGGTACTAATTTACAATACCAATAGCATTTTCATTTTTGCACATTCAATGTGTCAATCTCTTCCTTTTTTTTTTTTTTGTCTCGTGTCTCTTTCGATTTGTATCCATCTTCTCTCTCTCTCTCTCTCTCTCTCTCTCTCTCTCCCTTCTTCTTCTTCTTCTTCCTCTTCGCACCATATCCAGACAATGCTGGCAAGCTTCAAACCCCACACGACAGCCACTGCTTCATATCGCACTAGATCTCTCTTTGTCGACAACCTCTAGTTCCATTATAGCCACTGCTCTATATAGCGACAATGTCATCCCAAACTGATGGCCTCCCACCAAAATTGAAATAGTCGATAATCGATTGTCGGCGGATTCCTTTTTGGCCATAACGTAGCTTCTCAGTCAATACTTGGTTTTGTTGTTTCAGTTTGGTTACTGAACCGAAACCACCCATGTTTACATCCATGCCCAGATAAAGTGGGGACACACAGGACGACTAGGAAGATATTGTAATTTCTAACAGGAATGAGACATGCTTACTTATTAGGAGAGGGGGGAAGTCATAAATTAGGGCACCTAAGAATAGGAAAATTAAGGAATTGGAATCATATTAACTACCCCTTAATTGATCATTTTTTAATTTACAGAGTATTTAATTACATATTTTAATATAAAACCCACACAATGTTTTATTCATAACAGGTTAGTAAATACAAGGGATGAAAATATATTTAAATTATAAATAAATAAAAGCTTTCTCAATCCAAAACTAACAAAGGAAATGACTTTAAAAAGTGCACAAATGATGCATGAACTTATCCGGTTTATGTTGTTACCACCTAAACTAATTTTTTTTACAATTAACTACTTAAATTTTACTGTAACATCCCACATCGACTAATGGAGAGGGGGTGATGTGCTTTATATGTACATGCCCGTCTCCATCTAGCACGAGGTCTTTTGAGAGTTAAGGCTATAACAATTCCAGGATGGGTGATCCATTAGGAAGTTGCTCGTGAGTCCCTAGAAACAAAACCGTGAGGACAGAGTGAGGGGCCCAAAGCGGACAATATCTTGCTACGGCAGAGCCGATCTGGAGATGTGACAATTTGGTATTAGAGCCTTTTTTCCGTGTGGTGCGAGTGTGCCGACAAGGACTCGAGCCCTTAAGGGGAGTGGATTGTAACATCCCACATCGACCAACAGAGATGGGATGATGTGCCTTATAAGTACATGCCCGCCTCCATCTAGCACGAGGCTTTTTGGGAGCTCACTGGCTTTGGAGTCGGGGCAACTCTGAAGTTAAGCGAGTTGAGGTTAAAGCAATTCCAGGATGGGTGACCCACTGAGAAGTTGCTCGTGAGTTCCCAGAAGCAAAACTGTGAAGGCAAAGAGGAGGACTCAAAGTGAACAATATTGTGCTACGATGAAACCGATCCCGGGATGTGACATTTACATTGCATTACAATTTGACACCTTTGTCCACTTTCATCACCTTTTTGTTAAATAATGGCACATGAAAATCATGAAGGCTCTTTTTCAATAGCATTCTTGTCATTTCCTGCAACTAGCAGGGTTCATAAGAACATTTTTAGACAAAGAAAGTTGAATTTTGCTCAAACTAAACTGAATCGGTCTAAACCAATTCATATATCAGTTTTGTCTTGGAAGAGCTAGTTCAAACCAAATCGGATAGGTCATGTTAATTTTATTTATTTTGTATAACCAAATCTATTAATAAGCACACACAAAATATCTAAAATCACATTAGTTGCCCCAAGTAATATCTAGACCTTTTAGCTCAATTAATACCAAAATGACAACTCTAACCTTCTTCTTTGTCTTTTAATGAACTATAACCTTCTTGTTGTGCCTCTTTCTTTCTCTTTTTTCCACATTGTTCTTTCTCTCTTCTTTGACATGAACCTGCTTCACTAGGCACTCATGATTTTGTTTATAGGCTCATGTTTATGCTATATTCCCCAAAAAGCATCTTTCTAGGGATCCAAGTGCCCACACATATATGACACTTCACCTTTCCCTTCCCAAGGGATGTGGGATTGCTCATTGATCTTCCCCCTTCTCGCCTTGCATCCTTTAGGGCTCATAGTTCTTACCATTTACCCACTTGGGGCCCAGCGTCCTTGCTAGTATACTTTCAATCGGGGTCTAGCTCTAATACCATTTTATCCTGACCTTGCTCAACTAGCAAGATATTGTTTGCTTGGGTTCTAGGCCTAGTAGTTTTGTTATTTGGCATAAGCTTATGTTATCTTGCCCAAAATGCCTTGCTAGGAAGTCAAGTGCCCACACATATATGGCACTTCACCTTTCTCTCCCTGAGCAATGTGGGATTGCTCATTGATCTTGCCCCTTCTCCATTTCCATCCTTCACAACCCACAAGTCTAAGTGTACCAACGAGAATGTCGGGCCCACATGGTGCCACAATCCCACATTGCTTGAGTGAGGAAAGGTGAAGTACCTTATATGTGAAAATTTCCTTTCCCCTAGTAAGACGTGTTTTGGGCTTGAAAGCCCAAGAACAAATACGCGTGTATAAGGCCCAAAGTGAACAATATTTTGCAAAGAGAGTAGGATGTGACATTCTTCCTCTTTCTATCTTCTTCCTTTTTCTTTTCCCTCATACTCGATTCAACAAATCAATGGCTCGCCAATGTCACCTCTTTATAGCATCTCATTTTCCTAAACCAAAAATCAGGCAAACCGAACCAGAATAGTATTAGTTTAGATTTGTTCGGTTTCCCTATACATTGGTCTGAAAATCGATTTGAACCATACCATATGTAAGTTTTAGTTTTAGTTCAAATTTTAGGGGTAAACCAAGCCGAACCGAACCATACCCACCTCTAAAATAACCTATTCAAAGAGTTCAGACTCGAGACTTATAACCAATCTTGGGATCCGGAACCTAGTCTGGCGCCCTCAAACACCGAATCTTGCATTATATGCCTTCTTTATTCTTGGACTACACATCATGAATGATTAAACGAAAAAGAAACACAATAGCATATTTGACTATGTTAGTAGATTTTCTCCATTAAAGAACAATCAGATAGAGCAATCAAACTCGAAATGGTAATTACATTAAATAATATGAAAAATGTAGAAAAATTCATAGATTTTTCACGGAGAAGAAATCTGACTTACTTAGGTTGTGAGATCTAAGAGAGACGAGGTAGGCAGTAAGATCCGAGAGAAAGATAAAGAGGAGGCGATGAAATCGGAGAGAGTGAATGTGAGAGTTGAAGAGGTCAGTTGGTCCCACTAAGAAAAGTGAGATCTATCAAAAAGTGGAGAGTTAAAAGTAAAACAAAAATGAAAAACTGAAAACAATTTTAAATAACTTTTTAAAAAAATTAGCCTAATTTTGAAATCAGTTTTCTTTTTGTCAAGAAAAATAGTTACCAAAAATGTTTTCATTATTAAATTTTCATAAAAGAGTGGCGATTTTCACACACCTATTTTGTATATTGGCAGTTCTTTCTTTGGTTTTTAATGCCTTAATTTTCTTATCTGGATAAAAAAAAGTCCCTGGAGTTTACAAAACTATCAAGTTTTTTTTTTTTTTTTTTTTTTGTAACCATGGGGACCACGAATGACACAAAACAAAAACGTAAGCTGATAGTTTCGTGAACCTCAAGAACGTTTTGTGATTGCAAATATAGCTTTAGTTTTAAAACACAATACAGTTTACTAATTTGGAAGATAATAATACAATTTCATCTAATTAGCATAAGGCCAAAGACCAAATATGGCACCTAATTTTACAAAATATCACTAAAAAATATCGAAATTACACACAATGGCACTCCGTCTAAAGTAAGCATATTATGCCACATGTCCATATCTAGCTAACTACCACCGCCCACCTGCCGCCGGAATCCCGCCCCCGGCCACCACTGTCGGAATCCCGCCACCAGCCACCACCGGAATTTTGCCGCCGGCCAACACCACCGGAATTCTGCCGCCGGCCGGAATTCCGCCACCGGCCACCTGCCACCACCACCGCCTGTCACCGACCTGCCACCATCTACAAGGGACCAACTCCGTTGCCCTTTATTCACCTTTAAAAAAAAAAAAAAAGATTTTGCGTCATTGAATGGACTTGAACCTTGACACTCAAAGGAGGAAGGCTCACTCACAAACCACTACACCAAACTTGAATTTGTAATATTTATTCCGTTATACAGTTTTTATATAAACAATCAACGGTTAAAAAAAAAAAATCATTTCAACACTTGTTCACCCAAAAACTACAAATAAAAACAGAAACTGTAACAAAAATACAATGTAGATATCAATTATGTTTTAAAAAAACAAAAACAGCTACAAAAATAATTGTAATTAAATGAAAACTGCAATGCAGTTTCCAGTTTCCAAAAGTCCAATTTTGAGTTCCCTTGCTCTTCTCTTGCCCACCCACTTCCTCATCTGGTTAGCCTTTACTCTTCAAATTGGTGAGGTTGAAGGCCGAGGAAAGAACAAAAATCAAATTGTAATTAAATAAAAACTGCAATGTAGTTTCCAATTTCCAAAAGACCAATTTTGAGTTCCCTTGCTCTTCTCTTGCCCACCCACTTCCTCATCTGGTTAGCCTTTACTCTTCAAATTGGTGAGGTTGAAGGCCGAGGAAAGAACAAAAATCAAATTGTAATTAAATAAAAACTGCAATGTAGTTTCCAATTTCCAAAAGACCAATTTTGAGTTCCCTTGCTCTTCTCTTGCCCACCCACTTCCTCATCTGGTTAGCCTTTACTCTTCAAATTGGTGAGGTTGAAGGCCAAGGAAAGAACAAAAATCTAATTGTAATTACCAAAACTGCAATGCAGTTTCTGAAACTGCAATGTAGTTTGTGCAAACTACAATGCAGAACCTGTGTAAAATTTCACTGAACTAAAGCTTAAATGGTATTGCAAGATATTATATGACAGTGATGGCATCTACCATTTCCAAATCAAGACAAA